TGTGCTTCGGGGAGAGCAGGCGGAGCTGCCTCGGCTGATGGCACAGAATGCTGCGAATAGTTTGCAGGTCTTCCCAACACCTTAAAAGCAAGAGACTATGCGAATAGCTTTACAGGTGGTGATTCTTTATTAAACGCCTATCGCAGCACCCGAAAATAAGGCACACACAAAGGGGCAGCTCTTTATTATTACCCAGGCAGTACGTTGCTGGGTGCAGTGTTTTAAAAGAAGAGGGAGAAAGCCAGGTAGGCAGAAGCAGGCATTACACCTTAAATCAGTAAAGTCCAGGATAACTCCTTTATTTGCCAGGATGCCCTCATGCGTGTGTCTCACTTGCAACATTCTGCTGTAGTAAAAGTTGAACCCCAAGACAGGTTAAATCTTGTGACGGCACCAAACCAACCGTACTCATTTACTGCGCATCACCTGGTTCAACTACGGGGATTCTACAGCACAATTAAAAACCACAGTGGTGCAGTATTAGACAAACATGATACTAACTCAGTTTTCTCTCTAGCTCCAGCCTGTCTTACTAGTTGCTGCCACGTGCGATTTGTTTGGGGGTTTTGTGTTGGTTTTTTTAATTAGGAATTCTAATGGCACAAAACCAGCTTTGCATTTTTATATTTCAAAGCTTAAAAAAATGCCTCTTATGTGGAAAGGGACTAAATTGTATTAGTAGCTTAGATTCGTCCCCCCCAAGAAAAGTCTCCAGTGTACAAGTGTGAGTATCTATAAATCTGTGGGAAAAACTAGATACTACATCGTTCAACAAAACTAGGGGTTTCCTCCCCAATATAATACAAGCCAATCACTTCGATTCACTGCAAAAACCTCTCCTACCAATAATGATCACCTAAATTAGGTGTGCCTAAAAAGTTCTAGTCCAGAAAACAAGCACTGACTCGGCAGTAAGGGCTGAAGAAGGCGATTTCTAGGTTATTTAGTAGAATTACAAAAAAATGATCACAACAGAAAGAATCACATATTAACGAATCACACACTTACAGTTGTCTTCAATACAAGTTGAACAAACTCTGTGACTAGCAAAATGTCAAATGAAGGTCACCTCCGGCAGCAATTTTACAGACTTACAGCTTTGCTCTCTCAATACACCATGCATCTAAGAAAAACGATCCACGGAAAAGAGATGGGTTGTGTAAAACGAACCTTCAAATGCGAGTTGATTTGCCATACAGCCCGTTCACCCCTACCGTGCAACGCGGGAGGAAACTCCCCCGTGCACACGTACCAGTGCGAATTACCGAGCCGAGACCGGCACCGAAAGCAGCACGGCACGTGAGGGAATCAAGCCAGCGCGCCAGGGGGGGGAATAAGGTTGGCAGGGCAGGCCTGCCGATGGGCTGGGAAGGCACGTCTCCCGTCAGTGTCAGTACAGCTTTTAACCCGGCGAACGCCAGGAAAACTTCTGGCGGCTCCTTCACTGCGGCCGCACTCCCGTCCTCACTTGTCCTCCTGCGGCTGCAGGGGAGCATTGCTTTTTGGGGCCACATCTAAGGAGTCCGCGATCTGACCGGAGAACACCGCTTCCAGCCGCTCGTCGATCTCCGTTTCTTCCCTGAACGCGCACCAGATCAACAGCCCAGCGCACAGCAGGCTGAGAGGCAGCACCTTCACCCACGGCCTCTCGTGGTCGCTCCCCATAGACCGGCTGACGCTCCACGCCCGCGGACTGGCCTTGCTGGCGGAGAAGGGGATGGCCCCC